ACAACCCCTATGTAGCCACAAAGAATATCAAAGAAGTTTATGGAAATGTTTTGAACGTTTGAAAGCGTCAACGATGGTTCAGCAAATTTCATTCAGGTGACTTTAACCTTCAAAACCATGATGGCAGGGGCCGACATGTTGGAATTGATATTGATACTCTGAAGATGCTTATTGAGTCTAACCCAAGGTAACACACTCATGAAATGGCCCTGAAATTGCATGCCTCTCATGAAACAATACGTAAACATCTAAGGAATATTGGAAAAAGGTGTTTGGGTGCATCACGAACTCTCAGATGATCATTGTTTCCAATGTGTGAATGTTGCATCGTCTCTTCTGCTGCGTAATGCACGTGAACCATTTTTGGACAGAATTGTCATTGGTGATGAAAATTGGATTCTCTATGCGAATATTAAATGCCAAAAACAGTGGCTCGGTCCTAGACAAAAACCACTTCCGACCCCAAAACTTCGACTCCATCCGCAGAAAGTGATGTTTTGCATTTGGTGGGACATCAAAGGAGTAATTCATTTCGAATTCCTAAATCCACAGTGAACTGTCAATGCAAAGATCTATAGTCAGTGATTGGAACATTTAAATCAAGCCCTTCATCAGAAACGACCTTCACTCATCAATTGGAAAGGTGTTTTTCTTTTCCACGACATTGCATGTCCACATGTGGCACATTTTACTTAATAAAAAATTATGGAGTTGGGTTGGGAAGTTCTCCCCCACCTACCATATTCCATAGATATGGCACCATCAGATTACCATTTTTTCTTTTGCTGCAACACCATCTTAATGGGAAAATGTATGCAAATGTGGAAGGTGTTAAAGAGGAAATCAACATGTTTTTTGCTTCAAAGCCAAATGATTTCTTTAATCAGGGCATTAACAACCTGATTGTAAGATGAAAAGCATCATCGATAAAAATGGAGACTATTTCATCTAATAAATGTTTTGTTTTGATATATAAGTTGTTCGGGTTTTTTCATCTAAAAAAAAAGCGACATTAATTTCTTGATGACCTAATGTAATCATCATGAGACTATAGCCCTCCACCGAATGGAAAACAACACATCCTCCATGCACAGTAATCCACATGTCATTTGAACAAAAGCTAATTCTTGATGAAGCACTGCTTTTTAAGACATGTTTTTTCTAAGGAATTATTGAAACTTATTATTTCAAACTGTTATAACCATTCATAGTGTAGTTTTTCTTTCTTTAGCTTTCTAGATTATGAAAAAGATAGATTTCAAAATTTTAAACATTTCAGTTTCAATTTTGATTCATATTACCTTTAATTTGATTTTTCCTTTTTTAATTAAAGTTGTAATTTAGGGACATGAGTTCCATTCTTTATGATAAAGCTTTTTTATTAGTACCAGTTCCAAATGTTTTAACCCAGCTTTGGGTTTTATTAAGTGCTCTTCTATGTCGTCATTATGACAGTGACCTAAACCTATGTACTATCAATATACCAGACAAACTTTTATTTTTAAAAAAATCTTTTCCATGGATCATCTGGATTACAGTTCTTGTTTACACATTTCTGGAAACTCTGACACTCCTCAAAAGAAATCATCTGCTTAGGTAATGGTGTCCAGAGGCAACCTGGTAGGCGGTGGTGCTGCCACCATCATGCACCAGTTGATTTATTCCACTGTCATCTGAGATCCAGGATTCCTGACCTCCTGCTTCTGTTACTTTAGCTGAACCTGCCCCATCTTTTTCTACATAATGAGTTTTTTTTTGGTGTTTCTTATACTTTGGAATCTTGAGCTGGTACAGGTAATCAGCATGACCTCTCTTCACTTTGGTTTCTTGCTATTTCTTGGACCAGGTTTCTCAGTCTCTGCTGCCTCATTGAGTCACCCATTTCTTGTTTCTTATTTTCTTGGTCCTATTTAATATCCCCCCTTCTATGAGGATATGATGTGAAGACAGAAGAAACAGTGATGTATAGAAAGAGGAAGATGTGATGTTAAAATAGATTAGATTATTACATACAGATAGAAGAAAATGTGGTGTAAAGATAGAAGTTCCAAAACATACTTAACCATTTGCTGACACATAGCTATTCCTTGATGTTCACTTTGGCCATCTAAGCATTAGTTTCACTTGCTCCAGTCTTTTATACCCCACTTAAATTCTCTTTACGATCTTTGACCTTGTGATACTCTCCACCTACATCAATGTGACCTCTGTCCTGGTACAGTATATAAGTACCTCAATCAGATAATATAATCACTTTTTTCGACTATGCTTTTTTCTCTGAAGTGCAGTGCTTCATTATATTCTGGGCATGAATTCCAGTATTACTGTAGTAAACATAGAGATTTTGGAGTTTTTCTCAGTTGCTTTTAAGTCTACTCCTTCCTGATGGTGGAAAGGTCATGGGGGGACTATTTAGTTTTCCTCCTTCACCTTGTATTATTGGTTCATGCTGGTAGATTTATTGCTTTATTATGGGATGGGATAGATATACCTTGTACCCTCATTTGTCTGTTTGCATTCTTTGGCTTACCACAGCCAGGTGGATTTATATTTTGATTCCACAGATTAAATGTGGTTTTGGATATGTGGGGTTCCAGAATAGACCCTGTGATCACCTTGAACAGATCACAATTCTTGTATATGTTTGATCCTCACTCTTGCTCCCCCCCCCCCCCCATATTTTGTTGGAAGCCTATCAAGGCCCCTACATCAATTGGTAGACAAATGGGGTCTTTTGCTGACTTCTACCTTGGTCAGATTGTCAGCTTCTATTCTTTGTATGGTTTCCTGACTTGTAAATTGTTGGGATTTATTGAGTAGTGATTCCTTGTTGGAGTGAGTTTGTCTACTTGCTTTGGCCCTCCGTGAGTTACACTAGATTTCTTTTCTTCATCCCTTGCTGTTTGTAGGCATTCCAGAGGCATTGGAATCATCAACTGATGTCACCTGTTTGCTTTTTTCCTTGTTGTTGTTGGCCTCTAGACTTTCTTTGACTCCTGCTGATTGTCAGGGTGTGACAACTACTCATGTGTCCCAACCCCCAGCTTCTATTCCTCACTTTATGGATACTCAGAATAGATTCTGTCCTTAGTTTCAAGGCTCCTCCACTGTCACCAAATAGCATTAGTGTCTACCTTAAGTGGGTGGAGTCTGTAGAAGAGAGGTTACAACAATTGATGGACACATGGTATTCCTTCACTGCAGATCCATGCGTATTTCAGGTTCTGGTGTCAGGGTTGGTCTTTCCATTCACTTCTCCACTTCCACTATCCTTCCAACCTGTGATATTTCCACCCCCAACTGAATCTGGATTTTCGTTTCAAGGCTATCAGAAAGTTATTTGGTCACGGGGTGGTTGCGAGAATCGATCTCATTCTTCTGGGATCTTATTCCTGTTTATTTGTTGTGCCTGACAACCATTGCTTTGATCCTCCTAGATTTACAATGGAGTTCTTTTCTCCACCTATGTTGGAATTCTTCACCAGGTCTGTGAATGACCAAGTTTGATGTTGCTGATCCATTTCTAGCGAATTCATCCTGCCACTGTTTATGTTTCATGCACAGGGGTCAGGTTCTGCTGTTCAGGGATGTACCCTTTGGCCTAGCATCTGTACCATCTGTTTTTTTGCAGGGTCATACGATTTTTTCAACATGTTTTAAGCTGGGCTCAGCCAACTCCAATATGGCTCCAGGCTATGTAACTGGCAGTCAAGCTCTTACTTATGTGGATGGTTCTATCTGTTTAGGGGCTGTGGGCATCCCTCGATTCTCTGATTCCTTCAGGACAAGCACACATGCAGTACTTTCTGGGGGCACAATGGATCAGGAATTCAAATCCACTGGATCATGTAGTCTTCTTCATCAGGAGCTACATCTTAGTTCTTGAGTAATGGTTCAATCAGTTTATTACTACCATCGGTGTACCTATACCACTCCTCTGTCCCGAGTTTCATCTTTTCACAGATACCTCACTTCAGGGATGGGGTGTGTATATTGAAGGTCAGGAATTCCAGGGTATATAGATGGAAGACAAATCTTCCTTCCACATCAATAATTTAGAACTTCTTACTAATATACAGGCTCTGGTTTAAGGTTTAGATCTCTTGTAAGAGAATGTCATCATGATTCTTTCCATCCATTCCATAGTGGTCTCTTAAATATCCCATCATGAAAGCATGCGTTAACTTTGGTTATTTCTCTGCGGGGCTCACTTCCATCGTATCAGCCTCCTGGCTTGCCATTTTCCTGGGGTGATGAATTTCATAGCAAGTCACCTGTCTCAGCCCAATCAATTTTTCCTGACCAAATGGATTCTCCTTAGTGAGATTTTCTGATGGATTTGCTCTAAGTTCAGGTATCCAATGATCAGCACATTTACCACTCTTTGAAACTCAACTAGAGGCATTTTGGTCCCCAGTACCTCATCCCCAGTGTCATGATATAAAAGAATGTTTAGTATAGATATTATTGATTAATTTATTTTGTGAGTGAATATTTTATGTGTGTTTAGTTTTCTTTATAATAAGAGAGGAAAAGCAGATAATTTTGGGAAGTTGTGTTTATAATTCATTGATGTTGAGACTATTGAATGTTGTATACAATACATTTACATCAAGAATATAGAGATTTCTAGAAGGCGGGCAGACAATTAAGTGATAAACATATAAATAGTGTGAGACGAGCAGAAACAGCAAACAGACAATAGCAGAAGAGAGTAAAGTCACAGCCAAGGAAAAGTTTGGCATAAGGTTAACTGCCGTAGTAGTGATAGGCCTAATGTTCAGTACATTAGAGTAAGACTAACAGTAGAAAAGGAGATAAGAAGAATGATTAATTCCATCAAAGCATGGTTCTAAAGTAATTGAATCAGTCTCAGTGCACTTTGACAAAAAGATCATAGGATATTTTGAAGAAAGAAGACCAAATGATTACTGGAAGAGCAGTATACGACTGTGGTAACTCACGCCACAATTGTAAGTGAATTATACACAAAATACTAGCATGATAAAAATAGGGAAAGGTAGTTTGGCTTGTGAATTGAAATTCTAAAGTAATTGAATAGGCCGTAGTGAGCTTTTGACAAGAAGAAGAGAACTATCTATATTGAGTGTTTATGATATGCCTGTAATCTCTATATGTAAAGAATTTGTTGTACATATGTTCAACTTGTTCCAAATATGTATATATATTATTTTGAAAACAAGTGAAGTGCGTAGTGTTCATTTATCATTGAATTTATTGCTAACAAGTCACAGACAACAACACAGTATATATATATTTATACTATTAAGAAGTATAAGTAAAAGCCTTTAATTGACAATTGGCAAACATAACTTAACATTTGACACTCTGGCTTTGGCGATAGATGCATTCAGTCCAGATTGGACTCTTTGCCTTTCCCCCAAATCGTCTGTTACTCAGAGTTCTGACTATGATTTGATTCTCTACTTGAAAACTGTTGGTAGCCCCAGATTAGCCAGCCTAATCATGGTTTCCTCTTCTACAGTATCTTCAAGAGGGTCCACTTCTTCCTCTTCCTCTGTTCTTGTTGAGGCAACTCCGATCCAACATTCTACATCCAAATGTTCCCAAGCTCATCAGAGTTTAACTTCTACAGTTGACCTGTGTGTGCCTCTAGAGAAGTTTGAACCCACTACACCCAAACGTGCCTACCATATCTCGTTTTTTGACTCGGGTCTAGCTTTGTCTCCTGTCATTTTATGTAAGGCTCCTTTATCAACTACTTTTCATTATTTTAAACATCAGAAAGTTTTTTTTTACTCTTCACTGCTCTCTAGCCTTCTGCAGTAGTTTAGAGTCATTCTTCCCAAATGGCCTTTTCATTTACTTAACTGGGATATTAGGGTGGTATTACATGCTTTGTCTTGACATTCATTCAAGCCTTTAACCTTATATACCTTGTATCACCTTTCCCTTAATAGGTATTTTTGTTGTTGCTGGCATGTGAATGCTGTAAATCAGAGTTGTTTGCACTTTATGTGCACAGGACTCTTTATCACTCCATTTGGTTCTGTTATACCCTGATAGGTCCTTTCTTCTTAAGTCTCTGGCAGCCAGGGAAGGGGATAAATCCTTGTCATCAATTATTTTGCCAGCTAATACTCACTCTACAACCATTTGAACACTGATTGTTTCTTATGTCATGTCAGAGCCCTGAGGCATTATGTGGCTTGCACTAACTCCTTTTGAGTTTATGGTACTCGACTCTGTATTCACTGGGATCCTTCAGTTTCCAGAGATTTATCCCCAGTTACTTTGATGAGGTGAATTTGCAAATATCCATGTTGCTTAATCTGGACTATTTTTCAGGCAAGGAAACATCTGAGAGACACATGTGATCAGATTTGTCACATATCTGTCTTTTGCTGCCCGTTTCAATTACCTGCTCGAGGACATCATACTGGCTGACATGTAGCTTTTTCCTAATACTTTTCTCTCACATTCTCTACACGATCTGGCAGTTTATTCTTCTAAGGGTTTTGGACTACCCCTATGGCCATTTTCACAACATCTACTAGATTATAAGAAGGAGTGAGTATTTTTGTCCTCCTCTTGTTTCTTTACTTTCCAGGGTCCCTTACCTTTTTTTTTCTCTGGATCCCATTCTATGACAAGTGTTGCCCAGATAGGTGTGCTTTTCTCAATCCAGTTCCATACTAACAACCAATTTAACTATACTTCCTACCAGTTGCAACAGGCTCTGCAAAAATGAGGTGTTCCATAAAACCATCTAGGCGCTTACCAAATGGTATTATTATATTCTGCATGACCGCCACTCATGGACTATCATGAATAAAGCAAAAAGAGATCCTGCCCATCCCTGCTGATCATTGGATTGAATAAATTGGGATCAGTTTGCTTTTAAAAATGTAGGGAACTTGGTTCACCTATTGCAATGTTTTCAGAACACTATTCCTCACGACTCTCCAATGCACAGTACCCCTCAGATTTTACTAGTGGAGCTAGGGAGTCCTTACCACACCCAGTTTCCAGTCACTGGGGTGTTGGACAGAGACTTTTTCTCCAGAGTGTTTGAGTGTTTCCTCCACTCTTGGAGAAGATGGCAAAGTTTGGGACCCTTCTATTCGGGTCCCTGAATGTTTTTCCCAGATGTAGGTAGGAAAGGCACTAGCCTCCGTGAGAGCCTGCTCGTAATACCAGTTCAGATTTGATGCTAAGCTATCTGGTTGAAGTGCGCATGACCCTTCTTTTGATCAATGAAGATTTAGTATATTTTTCATGGAAGGAGGTCCACTATCTCCTCGTAATTCCATATGCAAAGTGGTCCCATCCTAGGTCCTTAGTTGAGTACAATGTTCCACAATCTCTCCATAATTCCAGGGGCAAATGGAATGCTCCTTGCCCATTCAGTTGGGGAGTGAGGATGAATATTTATAATTCCAGATCAGATGAGTTCTGTTCCTTTGATTGAATAAGGCATACACTATCCTGTTATTCCAAGCCTGGTGGAAGAGAAAGTTTGTCTGCTTCAGTGTTGCTTACTTTTTCATCGTAATTCCGATGGTTCGGAACGCATCACTCTGTGGCTATAGGCTGGGATCTAATCTAAAGTATATTTATATATATATATATATATAACATTGCAGTCCAATTGCCCTAGCCACCAACATGGGATATAGGAACCAAAACCCCGTAATTCCAACCCTGAGTTGTGTAACTTCGGTTATCTGGTTGGGGCTGGCCTATAATGATTACTCTTGTACTATTCCACCCTTGATATAGGAACTAGGTTCCAGGTGAAGACCATACCTGTAGTGGATGTAGTGCAGTTCCTCCCACTCGTGTACCAGTCTTATCTTGGTACACCCCTGTTCTATGCATACACTTTCAGTATGGATAATGCCGTCACCGGCCCATCCACCTTCTTAATGTGGGATTCTAGCTATGTGTCAGTGGATGGTAAGTGTCTATCCTCCTACATATATGCTCCCTCTATTCTGGTACTGTATATAAGCACCTCATTCAGATAATGTGACCACTTTTTCAAGACTCACACTATCCCAGTCACTAACACCAGCTCTTATGGGAAGGAAAGGTGGGAGAGTGTCAGTGTAAGTAAGTATTATTGGAAATACATTTTCAATTTAGAAAAATGTTAACTTCCAAAATTGTCACAAGGCCAAAAATCACTGAGGGTATTTAAGTGGCGTATAAAGGAGTGGAGCAAGCAAGAATAATGCTTAGATGACCAAAGTAAACATCAAGGAATAGTTATATGTCAGCAGAATGAAGTATTATTAGGAAAATTTTAATGTACAATGTAAAGACGTGATGCAAAAATAGATTAAAATATTTTCAGCCATAAATCCATTTGTTACCATAAAAGCTATTCCTTAAAATACAAGTGTTCTGCACCTAATTGAATAGTGCAAGGATAATATAGATCATTAAGAAAAGAAAAATTTATTCATTTTAGCATTCATTTATCGTAATCCCATAATAGTATATTTGCATAATCAAGTCCTGATAAACGTTCTTTCCACTTTGTTTTTCTCCACACTCTTTAAAACTGTTCATGTATAGTTATTTTCCAGCTTCTTGTGACATAAGAAGTTATTAACTTATTTTTTTAATTCACACCATTCATTATGTTGCTCTAAATATTATAGTAAGAAACATACATAAAGATTAGACTGGACTAAACAATTCTTATTTTGCAGTTTGATATATGTGAATATTTTCAATCATGAGAACTTTTCTTGTCAGTATATGATAATTACTTTTGAAACATTCTAATTACAATAAACAAATGTATAAGTGGAATAATCCTGACAGAAAGAATTTTCAGCATATGAGAGTTAAACAGTGCATTATAAAGACTATGAAAGTGTAGATTTTTATATCATAATGTGTAATAATCTGTTGTAATCATGTTTGGTACTTTGGATGGAGTGTAAATATTGTAGATTATTCCAGAAGGTTAAAACTTCAAAGTGCATGTATAACTAGTATAGAATTTCTATAGTGAAATACTTATTTCTCTTTTTATTCTAGGTTTTAAGAATTGCCCAAGAACTCACATCTTTACACAGCTCTCTCCCATTAGAAATTTCTTCTTCAATATTTGTCAGAACAGTAAGTTAATGAAAAGATCATGGTACACATAGCTGGAATGTCGGGGGCATTTTAACAGATCTAAATTTTATGCATGGTTCCACATTTTTCATTTTTTATATTCGTAATTTATGATAATGACAACAAAGTTCAGATGTGGCAATTTAAGAGTTATGAATTGATCATTGTACTGTTGTGAGAACATACTAAACACTTGACTGCTTATACTGTTGATACATCTTACTAAACACTTGACTGTTTATACTGTTGAGACATCTTACTAAACATAAGACTGTTTAAACTGTTGAGGTATCTTACTAAACATACAACTGTTTATACTGTTGAGGTATCTTACTAAACACTTGATTGTTTATACTATTGAGATATCTTACTAAACACTAAATTATTTATGCTTTTGAGACATCTTACTAAACACTTGACTGTTTATACTATTGAGACATTGATTAAACACTGGATTGTTTATACTGTGTATGTTTTACTAAACACTTGAAAATATATACTGCTGAGAAATCATAATAAATATTTGACTGTTTTACTCTTGATACATCTTATTAAACACTAAATTATTTGACTGTTGTAACAATTTATTAAACACTTGATTGTTTTTCTGTTTGAGACATCTTACTAAACACTAAATTAATTTACTTCTAACAACTTATTAAACACTTGATTGTTTATACTGTTGAAACATCTTATTAGACACTAAATTAATTGAATATTCCAACAATGTACTAGACACTGGACTGTTTTTACCATTAACACATCTTATTAAACACTGGATTGTTGTGAAACCTGACAAAACCTTTTTGTAATTACCTTATAAACACACTAATGCTGTTAAAGCTCCTTAAGAGAAGATGTTGTGAGCCTGTTAGTAAGCAGATGTGAGTAGAAGGGAGGGCAAAATAAGTAAGTTTCTGTGTATTGTGTACCTAATGACACTTTGTATCAGCACTATAAAATTAATTTGAAATGAAAAAGAGAAAAGTACAGTTCAACTGTGGACTTGCAGGGATCTAAATTATGATTCATTCAAAGAGAAAAGTACAGTTCAACTGGAGACTTGCAGGGATGTGAAGTATGATTCATTCAAAGAGAAAAGTACTGTTCAACTGGAGACTTGCAGGGATGTGAAGTATGATTCATTGAAAGAGAAAAGTACAGTTCATCTGGAGACTTGCAGGGATCTAAATTATGATTCATTCAAAGAGAAAGTACAGTTCATCTGGAGACTTGCAGAGATCTAAAATATGATTCATTGAAAGAGAAAAGTACAGTTCATCTGGAGACTTGCAGGGATCTAAAATATGATTCATTCAAAGAAAAAGTACAGTTCATCTGGAGACTTGCAGAGATCTAAAATATGATTCATTCAAAGAAAAAAGTACAGTTCATCTGGAGACTTGCAGAGATCTAAAATATGATTCATTCAAAGAGAAAAGTACAGTTCAACTGGAGACTTGCAGGGATCTAAAATATGATTCATTCATTATATTTCAGAGAAGTTGTTTGATAAAATGTACAGAGCAGATTGTAAATTGACTTAACTTCTGATCTAAGACTTCTCAACTCCTCATGTCACTGTCCAGTAATTGGCATGATGGCAGCTTAAAAGCTATAAATTTGTATAGAATTTCAAGCCTTGTGATCAAAATTGTAGGCAACCCAACAACCACCTTGTAAACTTATATAAAAAAATGTGGAAAGCAAAAGGAATAAGAAAAATACTTGACATATTAATAGTTGGACCTATATTACGTGTTAAACAAAATCATGTTTTGTATGTTACTAAAATAAATGCAAAATTATTTACATTATTGAAATAAAACATATCTAGTACATACCATTTATGCAATTTGAGTTAAGTTAAACCAAACTAATTTGTCTGTTGTTTTTAATGTGTAAAATCTCATAAGCATGACGAGAACTACTTTTAAAAGTCCTAAATGTGAACTTCCCACTTTTCACCCAAAGACATTGTGTGACCTTGTACTGTATCAGTTTGTACAAGAAGTTTTGTTTTGCAGTGTTGCTAACAATTACTTATATGTGTTCAAATAATTCAGTGGAAAGGATGTTTTCAATGTTTGAACCACATTTTACTTTAGCTGTTCTCTTTATTGTTAGTTACATTTCAGTTACAAAGCTTGCATTGAAGACAGGTCTTTATAAGATATTTTATTACGGGCATTACATGAAGGAGGCCAGGTGTGACCTATTAGTTATTGTGTCTGGACTATGAGTTTGAAGACTCATTTATGCATTACTAAAGTTTTATCACTACACAGTGCTCAAAAAGAAGAAAAAACAAACTTGGACACTGCTAAGTGAACATAAATGATTTTATATCAGTTATTATTAAGAAATCAGAAAAATCATTCATGTTATTTGTAGAGTTGAAAAATGGATAAAGATATTAAATGCATAGTGACTCGAAACTGCTTAAAACTGTCACCAACTTTTGTCAAAGAAAAAATACTAATTTTTGACTAGGCCATTCCCTCCATTATTGCACCGATTGGGCCACCAGGGTGTACATGAGAGCATCCATTAGTAAAATCTATCAGTGTGAATAAGTAGTATGACATAGAAGACTGAAAACTGAAACAAAGCTTTTTTTTTTATAAAACATTGACTGAATTACTTTAATTGTGATTATAGCTTTTACATCAGTCTTTTATCTGTATACACTAGAATCTAAGTATCCGAGTCCAGTTTTGTTTTTCTAAATGAGACAGCACAGTTGCCATATCATTTGTATTTGATGAAATACATTAAAAACTTATGATGAAAGAATATTGTGAAGGAAAATTGGAAAGAACAATGTGTAACCATCAACATGGATTAACAGTTAGTAAAGTTTCTTATTGGTTGAATCAGATCTTTCTTCCTTCAGTGTATGAATTTTTACCAAATTTTTTACAATTTAATTGTTGTAATGCTATTTATAATGCATCAGACTTCTTTTAGACTATCACTTAGATTAATAAATAATTTTGTGTAGAGTTTTCTAAACAAGACTTACTGATCACTCTTCAACTAGGAGGTATATTACAATAAACATATCAATATATAAAATAAAAATGTCTGAAGAGCTTAATTAAGGCATTTATGTTCCAATCAGGGCCAGTGCCAGACTATTTTGCACCCTAGGCAAGGCCAGTTACTTGCACACACACACCAACTTCGATTTTTAAGAACAGATGGTCAGTACTGTGCCCTAGGCAACTGCCTAGTTGGCCTAATGGTAGTGCCTTAATTTAAAATGGAGCTGTCAGTATAATGCATCTAAAACATTTATGTCAAAAAGGAAAGAGTGAAAGAAAAGATGATTTGTTCAAACAAAGACTGTGTTATTATTCTAACATCACTTTACAATAGGCAAAAAATTCATAAATTCAATAACAGCTGATTGGTTAATCTGACTCGATGATTATTGAAACTAAAGTGAAGCAAAGGCTTATAAGTTTGGGCTACATTGAAGAGTTACAACATCTAAACCTTTATTGAGAAAGGAAAATGCGGCCATAATTAAAATAGGCACAGACATTAAAACAGTTTCACATTCAAGACTTGAGGGAGGTCCTTTTTACAGAAAAGTCAGCTTTTAAAATTTTCGGAAGCCATAGAAGGCACATTGTATGACTACAAAGATCAGACTAGCACAAAGTTGTATTCACTTCTGTTAACCATAGTGGAGGTTTTCTTCAGGTTTGAGGCTATTTCAATGACTGTGGGGTTGGAGACTTGCATATGGTTAACTTTACTTATTGACCAAGAAGTTCTCTCCATACTTCATTGCCTTGCTATTCTCAGTAGACGGTACCCACATGTCGGTTTTGTGTGGAAATTGTCTATTAAATAGTTAATATTATTAGTATTATTATATTATAATAATAATTATTATTAATCATATATTTATGTCCTACAAGACTGTGTAATCTTGATCAATCAATTATTAACAAATTGATCAAATGAGTGCCATGTCCAATTTAGGCAGTAGTCAAGATGTGGGAGAGACAATCTGTCCATTACTTTAAAGCAGTGGGAATCTTTTTATTATTCCTATGTAAAAGTACTAATTTAATTTACCAGTTCTGTATGTTATATAATTAATTATATGTAATAAATTTAATACAGTACTATAAGTTTTTAGGCAAAATTCTTACCCTTTTGAAACCCACTATGTATATGTTATTTTTCTGTTGTGTTTAGTTTATTTCAAAATAATCAGTAGAAAAAATAAGGATTTTATTCACTAAACTGAAAAATGATAGAACAACATATTTCATTTTATAATTATGGGTTTCATCAAATAAATAAAAAATATTATTTAAAGAACACCAAATTTAGAAAGGGTTAAATGTATACTCAATCAACATGCATTTCATGTGAAGTGAATTATAGTAGTAACACACTATTGTATCTAATTTTATATGAATAAGCCCTTATTATTCAGATATTGAACTATTCATCTTCAGCTTAATGTTCTAAGATACTTTAATTACTTTCCAGGATGACGAGAAGTCTTGTTTGCTGAGAGCCTTAATAACTGGGTAAGTATGTCCTAAAAGTTGTAAGTAATATCAACTTATACTGTAGTTCCACTACTATCATGAAATATGATAGTGGTTCATAATAGGGATTGCACAGAAATTTGCTCAAATTTCTAATAGAACATTTGAGCAAAAACCACCTCAAAAAGCAGACTTATTCTTGAAACACAAAGACCACCTTAACACTGATTTTCTATTTGATAGCTCTGTAACCAAACAAAATTGAAGGCTATAAAAATTATGGTCTGTTTGAGCACTAATTATTTTATAGACTATTTTACATTTAATTTCGTACATTTTTGAGGTGTGATGGATAAAATAGGGATGATGACATGCTTAGACAAAATGTGTCACGTGTGTTGCACTAGTGGAAATTTAGGATTTTTTTTTATATATTTCCTTGTAGAATTAAAACTTAAAACTTGTATACTATTAAAATGTGGATTATTAGCTAAGATTTTATGCTATTCTAATTGGTATAACGTAAACAAAAAGTAGTTTAATAAAATTTTGAATGTAAGACACTAAAACTTAGTGTCATGTGCAGTAAAGTGTACCCGGGCCGATAGGGTTAAAATTAGATTAGGTAAAATAAATAATAATATAATAAAAATGTTACGTTAGCTGCACGTTCCCAGAGTGCTTTACAACTTATGATGCGGATAGTAGTTAGACATGGTTCAAAGGGCAATAAAATTTAATTGTAAGTAAATGTATACTATCATGAGCTTAAAGTTACTTAGGATAAACAAATGTAGTTTCATGTTAGAATTTGAAACCATTCTAGAGAAAAAAATGGAGGGAGTAATCTATATATATATATTTTTTTTTTTCCTTTTGGGGGTTACGAGGTCGGTCAAATTGACCGATCCCGTATAGAGATAGGGTAAAGAAGATAACAGATAAAATATAAAGTTTTACTGAAAAAAAATCATTTGATATGTATTTAGGAGATTTTTTTGATTAAGTAAAGGAATTTTGAAATTGCCATATGAGCTGTGAGAAATCTCAACTTTTACACTTGACTAATATAATGCCAGTCCTGTAGATATATGTCTGACAATTATGTATGACATCTTGCCCCATTGACATGTTGAATGGAATAGAAACAAGTAACAAATTTTGTCAACCCCTAACAGGTGCCACTCTCACCTTCTATTCCATAGGTCAGCAACCTGTGCCTTGTGAGCCACATGTGACTCATTAAAGAGATTTGTGTGGCTTTCAGGCTATCTGCTGTGTCCACTGAGGAGTATCAAACCCCTGCTTTTAGCATTGTAAATTCTTTAGGGCAAATTGCAGCTCTTGAAAAGTTTTGGCCTCAGACAAAAACAAAAAAATGGCTTGTTTTCTTTGAAAGGTTGCTGCCAACCTCGATTTTTATACTTTTACTTGAGCTTTATAACATACACCTAGCTGCTACGTATACATGTGTATAATTATCAGAAAGATCTCATTTTACACTGTAAGCCAACAATGGTTATTTTGAAATTGACACACTGTTGTCATTATCTGGTACATGTAACTGCCTGCAGCATTGTTGGCTGCTTGATCTCCTATAGCACTTACAGTTTCTTTTTAGTTAAGTATGTTATAGTTAGAGAGACAGTTAAATTGTACTTAGGTGTTAATTTCATATCATAAAAGTAATAAAAGTTAAAGGACAGTAAAGAAAAAATAAAACATTAAAAATTAACTACATGTGAAAAGGAAAAGACCCAAAATTATGAATATAAGGAAAACAACATCTTTAAAGATATTCTACAAAAAATTAAAAGATGTGTTGTTTTTTTATTTACTAATTTTAATCATTTCATTACATTGTACATTGATGATAACAGCTGGAGTTAGTGATATGGTAGAGAAAATAAAATATAAACATTTACCTTAAAAAAAACTTTTGATATCCATTTAGGATGTTCTAGAGATTATGCAAATGAAATATGAAAACTATAAGATAAAGAAAAGTATTTTTATAGATAAAATGAAAATCACTTTGCACTCGATTTGTTAATAGTTTTAATGCAAGTAACTGCCACAGTAAAATAACATATGATTAGTAAAAACATTTTATTATAAAACTGTCATTATTTGTGCGCAAGATACTTATAATCTTTGACAAAATCTTCCCCGTTTTTGTGAAGATATGTTAAAAAGTCTCAGTTACAGTATATGTTGTTGCACAAGTGAAATTCAAATATGGGGCAAATTGCAGGGGCCCATTGCAAAAAAAGTTAAATTTAGGGACAGCTTTGCACAAAATTCAACAAACAACTACTTGTAGTGCAACTGTGGTCCTAAAGTGAAAAGTGTATTTTTGCAGCAATGCTTATCTAACCATGAATTCTCATAATCATAGTCTGAGCTTGTTAACCACTAGGCTCTACCCATTATATTTATAAGTTAATGAAAAATAGTGAAACCTTATACTTATATAAGATTAAATTTCAGAACAATGTTTTTATTTTATTAATTGCACACACAAAAAATTAGTAGAAACTTTATAATAAAACACGTTTTAGATATACATTAAATGCAAAATTAAAAGGCTTAAATTTAAAAACGAAAAAAAATTCATTCAATATAGAATATAATTTTCCTAAATATGCAAAAAAGATCTCAACATTCTTTCGTCTTAGCTTACAAGTTTTTATCAACATTGTAAACAAGTTTCATACAAGTAAATGTAGAACTTCTAATTAGACCTCACTTTTCTTACAGCACTGACTATTGGTCTACAAGTTTTACTTTCATACGGCTTTAAAAGTAGGTAATATCATACCTATTGCATTGAAAATCTGTCAGACCCACCTGTCTGTTGTCATTAGAAACTGTTTTTAAGACTAATTAGTAATACATACAGTTATTATGTTGAGAAATAATACTTTCAAACGTATTAGGTCGTCAAGAAATTAATGTTGCGTTTGGAACACTTTCATTAACCACCCCCCCAAAAAACATACATCACGTATAATAATTAACTGAATAGCCTAAACGTCATGTTGGTGTAGCCTATATAATGTGTAAAGTTTAGTATACTTTAATCCCTTATAGTGATGGCACACAATGAGACACATTCGGCATGTAATGCTGCTTGAATACAAGAAGGGAAACAACGCTTCTGTAGCCACAAAGAATATCAAAGAAGTTTATGGGAATGTTTTGAATATTTGTAAGTGTTAACGATGGTTCATCAAATTTCGTTTAGGTGACTTTAGTCTTAAAAACTGTGATATTGTTGCTCTGAAGATGCTTGTTGAGTCTAACACAAGGCAACACACTTGTGAAATGAACCTGAAATTGCATGTCTCTCATGAAACAATACATAGATATCTAATTAATATGGAAAAACTCCTTCAAGAAGGTGTTTGGATGCCTCACAAACTCTCAGATGATCATTGTTTCTAATGTTGAACTTTGCTTTGTCTCTTTTGGTGCGTAAAGCTCATGAACCATTTTTGGACAGAATTGTCACCAGTGATGAAAAATGGATTCTCTATGCGAATATTCAATGCCAAAAACAGTGGCTCAGTCCTAGGCAAAAACCATTTCCAACCCCAAAACCTTGACTCCATCCACAGAAACTGATGCTTTGCATTTGGTAGGACATCAAAGGAGTAATTCATTTTGAACTCCTAAATCCACAGTGAATTGTCAATGCAAAGATCTATAGTCAGTGATTGGAACGTTTAAATCAACCCCTTCATCAGAAACACCCTTCACTCATCAATTGGAAAGGTATTTTTCTTCTCCACGACATTGCATGTCCAAATGTGGCACATTTTACTTAATAAATGATTATGGAGTTGGGTTGGGAAGTTCTCCCCCACCCACCATATTCCATAGATATGGCACCATCAGATTACCATTTTTTTCTTTTGCTGCTACACCATCTTAATGGGAAAATGTATGCAAATGTGAAGGTGTTAAAGAGGACATCAACATGTTTTTTGCTTCAAACCTAGTTATTTCTTTAATCAAGGCACTAACAACCTGATTGTAAGATGGAAAAGCATCATCAATAAGAATGGAGACTATTTCATTTAATAAATATTTTGTTTTGATGTACAAGTTGTTCAGGATTTTTCATCTAAAAAAGTGATATTAATTTCTTGACGACCTAAAATAATGTAAACTTGTTTTTTTTTTCCCATACACACAATAAACATACGAGTTATCTTTAGATCTCTCAAGTTCAGAATTTGATGAAGCATCACACTTAGCTTAAAGTAGCCTAAAACTGAAACTAAATGTTTATAAAGACATGGTCTGAGAAACACAAACCAGTTTTATTGTCATGAGGACCTTGTACATATTACTGAATGGAACTTCTTTTGTAAATTTTATATTTGAGTACGAACACAAACATCCATTTTGTCTGTCTATTGTTTTGTGTTCTTGAAAGGATTGCTGAATTTTCACTGTGTCATTTCAAATTGCAGTCCAAAATATAATGCTTTTTCTAATCACAGGCCTGAAGGGACACCTTATTCGAATGGCTGTTTTTTGTTTGACATTTATTTTCCTTATGAATTTCCAAATAATCCTCCTATGGTCAATTTCCAGGTAAGTGTCATCATATATTGTAGTGCTGTCTTTATATATATATATATATATATATAGAACACCCAGTAATAACTAATCTTAATTTTAAAATAAAAATGCTTAACAAATGTTATGCAGTAGAAAAAATATATAACTTGTGTTTAAGTTTTAAGAAATCTGAAATATTTATTGTATAATCTATTATTTCGTTTAGAAAAACTAAATAAATCTTTATCAGATATTTTAAGTCTTCTTATCTTATCTCCTTTAGAAAAACTGAGGAAATGCATGTAGTATTCGGTAATTTGTAATAAATTTTTATCAGAGCAAGCTGTGTACTTAGAGTGAAACTAAAAATCAACCTTGCCATCAATACAGCTAATTCAGTATTCTTTTCTTATATATGTGCTTATAAAGCTTAGAATGCATTGTTCCATCAGTTGAGTTCCCTTGCTGCTAATGATATTATCCATATAATCATATTTATAATCCAGGTTTCTCTTCATATTACATTTAGAAAAGACTTTATGGTTTTATATTCTAACTCAAGTTTGTTCGTAATCTTCATTTTACTTTTTAAAATTATATTTTCTATTCAGATACTTTCTTTAAGCTCAATTTACTAAAAATGCTTAATGACTTAAATATATTATCTTGAAGTTGCTACAGATTGATCATAAGTATATGAGATGTGTTGTTCCATACTAGAGAGGAATAAGTTGAAACTAAATCCTAAACAGTTTCCTTTTTTTATTATTTAAATGTTTTATAGCCTCCTAATTTTATACTCTTCAGGAACTTCAGAATTTTCCATCCTTATGAATTCATTTTTTACACATATTTAAGGATTCTTCCAAAGTAATGTTTTATAAATGTTATGGACCCAAATTTTATATGTCTTCATAACTTTAGTATGTACTCTGAACAACAGACTTTTAGATTTCTAGGTGGGGTTTAAAAGTTACCATTTATTATATCAAAAGCTTGTGAAGCATAAAAATCAAATAGGTTTAAAATCTGTGATTTTTTTTTTCACATTCCTCTCAATTTAGCCATTACAGACTCAAAGTCAGAGCTGTATATAAATAGCATTTGAGAAAAAACATCTGCTCTTTATGTTATTTTTATCACAAATTTTAGGTGTATAAATAGAGTTTAGTACATTCTATAAACAACAAAGTTTTCACTGTGTTGGTATGGTTTAGTACATACTGTGAACAACAAAGTTTTAGATGTCTTGGTAGGGTTTAATACATACTGTGAACAACAAAGCTTTAGATGTCTTGGTAGGGTTTAATACATACTGTGAACAATAAAGCTTTAGATGTCTTGGTATGGTTTAGTACATACTGTGAACAATAAAGCTATAGATGTCTTGGTATGGTTTAGTACATACTGTGAACAACAAAATTTTAGATGTCTTGGTAGGGTTTAGTACATACTGTGAACAATAGAGTTTTAGATGTCTTGGTATGGTTTAGTACATACTGTGAACAACAAAGTTTTAGATGTCTTGGTATGGTTTAGTACATACTGTGAACAACAAAGTTTTAGATGTCTTGGTATGGTTTAGTACATACTGTGAACAACAAAGTTTTAGATGTCTTGGTATGGTTTAGTACATACTGTGAACAACAAAGTTTTAGATGTCTTGGTAGGGTTTAATACATACTGTGAACAATAAAGTTTTAGATGTCTTGGTAGGGTTTAGTACATACTGTGAACAACTAAATTTTAGATGTCTTGGTAGGGTTTAGTACATACTGTGAACAACAAAGTTTTAAATGTCTTGGTAGGGTTTAATACATACTGTGAACAATAAAGTTTTAGATGTCTTGTATGGTTTATTAAAGTTTTCACAGAATTTTACATTGCTTCTCAGAGTTTAATACAATTCTTGAACTGTATCCTACATCATTCTTGATAACACTTAACTCAAGAACTAAGATTCAGGTTTGTTTGCTTTTCTTTTTTGATGAGTTTTATAACCCATTTGTCAGTGCAAATACTAACTTGCTTGTAAATATTTAATTTTTTTTATAAAAGCCTCTCATCTTCTTTTGACATTTATAGTGTAGTCTGTATATTGTTATATGTAATGATTTTTTTTATAAGCAAATGTCTATTAAGTAGAATTACTTTTTCTTTTCATGATACTCATAACGTTACAGTTCCATAGTTCTGATCTATGATACTCATAACATTACAGTTCCATAGTTCTGGTCTATGATACTCATAACATTATAGTTCTGTTCTTTATTGTAATATTAGTCTCTGCAAATTTGAATTTCTCCTCCTCTTTTTTTTTATTTTTTATTTTTTTTCTTTTTTATCTAAACTTTTCATATTATTCTTATAGACAACTGGTGGTGGAACTGTCCGATTTAATCCAAATTTGTACAAGTGAGTGATTTTGGTCTTTATATAACTGTGGCTTCATAAGAACTATCTGAAGACCAACTTTTTTCCTCTATAGTGCAAAGAGAATATCTTGATGTTTATAAATGACATAACCTATTCCATTCAGAATCAAGCATAGGAAATTAGAACAAGTCTTGAATAAATTATATTTCCTCCCAGTAATGTGTACGTAAAGAATGTATCTCAAAATTACAAAAGTACTTGCATGTTTGAAATTAGATGGAAAATTCTGAAAAGTCCAGGTAAAAATAGTGTACCAGCATTAAGCTGAATGTTTTCTTTTATCAATTAAATTGTAAGAGAGATGTTTAAATTTTTGTCATATGGTACTGTACTGTGTATGACTGTGCAGCAGGTGAAAGTAGCTTTGCAAATGTCTACTTATACACCACATAGGAAAGAATTAAAATATAGTTTGTTTATTAGATAGATAATGCAGCTGACAATCTGCAATGTTTCAGCTTAAAATGCTCTTTTTAAAACTCACTAAATTATAACACTCATATCTTTTACTAACTACATAGGAGGATCACCAGGATTATAAGGCAAAATTTATTCAACTATAACATTCATATCTTTACTGACCACTAGTAGGAACACCAGTATTATAAAGCAAAATATACTTAACTATTTATATGTTTTTCTTGATTATTTCAATAAAGGTTAAGTAATGAAAAAAAAAGTTGTTCTTCACTGAGTTTTTTAAGTCTTCTATTTTCAAACTGTTTTACAATTACTGGTCTATTTTAATCTTGTACTAAATATTTAGAAATATTGTGAGAAATAAGATAATAAGTAAGGCAATATGTTGTTGTTTTTTTTATCTGTACTGTGTATGTTAATGTTAGAGAGTGTTAGCGAGGTTTTTGAACTAGATCTCTTGATAATATAACAAGAATTTTGAAGTTGGAATAAAGTCTTAAACATAATTAAGGAATGGAAACAACTAGTTATTTGTTTGTTTAGTTAGAAATAGACATATACAGTTAATTGCCAGTCAGTTAGGAAATGAGAGAGAGAAATTTGTTTGCTGTAACCCAGAAGAAGAAAAGCTGAATCACTGATAGTTATTATAATTTAGTCATAAAATTCATCTTCACAGGATATACATCGGCCAACAAAAATTGCTGTAGTTTATAATATCATCATGCCAAGTGTTGTCCATAAATAAAAAAATGCTCTTATTGTAGGGATGGGTGGGTTTGTCTGTCACTTCTTAACACCTGGAGAGGATTCACAGAAGAACACTGGCATAAAACATCAACTGTCTTACAGGTAAAGATACCACATGACTTAAGAACTTAATGATATGTAACATTTTAACCCAATTTTCAGATATGCATTTGTTTTAAATAAAAGGGTTTTTTTAGGTCTTATTACAAAGGAAAAGCTCAGAATACTACTGGTCTGTGTTATTAATATCTATAAAGATCATAAAAAAAAGTGCAGGTGAATGTTTGTTTTTCCTGTGCCTCTGTAATATAGAGAATTGTAAAAAGTAGTTGTAGGTAACATTAGCAAATACTGTAAAAGAAAGGTTTCTTTATTAGGAGAGAGAAAAAGAAACTAATTTCTGGGATGGAGAAGATAATTTGGTTTTATATAAATCAGTTCATAGGTTTCTACAGTTACATTAGGACAGTACCAACATGTTTGTTTATAATTAATGCAGATTACAAGATTATAAACATATTTATTGTATGCTCATTTTATGTTGATAGTTTACAATACGATATCTTACTTCTCACAAAATAGATTTTCTCAATTAGTGCTGCGCAAATTTTCAATCCTCGTCACTGGCCTTCCACCTCCCACTTCTCCATATATCCATGTGTAAATGATTATGCAGTAGCTTTCCACCAATAGGAGTGCGACACAACTCCTATCGTGACCAGCACCCTCTCAACATTTGCACTCGTTAATCACTTCTTGATTGGCAGTAGTATTGTACAGACATGCTTGTTTGAATTGTGAAAGGTTCCTTTTTCCAACTTTTCTTACATGTCTTTTTTTTTTTTCTTCAAGTTTGGACTTGTCACAATGTGCTCGCAGTTT